GTTTGGCTCGATGAGATTTATTCCCTTTGTGACTTGGCAAATTAGTAGAAATGCTCTTCCAATTCCACATAGTTCACACTCTAGCCATGGACAAAACTGGCCACTATTGTCCCTTTGGCTATGAAAAGGCTATTTATGGCTGACCCTACAGTACAACACGGCTAGCGGTCATGCACTTCATTATTCTTTTATACAAAGGGACAAAATTATCGGTTATCGATAATCCTGATCCATAACATATCTCTTCTATATTTTATGTGTTAACAGGTATCGCTAACTAGCAATCCTTGGCTCGGGACAACAATATCACAACACACTTCCAAATTACTCATTCTTTATTTTGGCGCAACGCCAGACATACACAACAATGCTATACAAGTACTTCCCATGACGAATGGACAAAGAGGCACAATAATGTATACTTACATCTTCTCCTTTGATATGCATGAGGGAGGTTAGCAAAGCTCTCTGGCTAACCCAACGATATTCAACATGGCCAGCGGTCATAAACACACAATTACATATTGATACAATGTCAACAGTTTATCATGGAGAAGAAACATTATCAAGGCCTAGAAGGCCCACATGGATAGATTTCATCCACCATGACTTATTTACTACATCACTTGGACAGAAGGTCCATCTTTGCTGGAATACTTTATCTCAATCAGAAGATTCATCTTTGCTGGAATACTCTATCTTGATTAGAAGATCCATCTTTGTTGGAATACTCCATCTTAGACAGGAAGTCCATTTTCGTTGGAATACTCAATCTTGGATAAAAAGTCTTCTTCAACATATTAGGTCCATTACAAGTACATCAACACATGTGTGTTCATTTCATCTTCATCATCATTTTATCATCTCTAGCAAAAAGGGGCTTGGCAAAGCTTGTTGGTCTCGACCTACAATTATAACAAGGCTATGGACAGTCTTTGTCTTTACTTTATCTCTTGAACAAGATGTTTATCATTGCTGGTTCTCAAATTCCTTGGATGGAGGGTTATTGCTCTACTTCACATTATCATATTTCACTTGGATGAAGCAATCTACTACAAATTCAATAGCTTGTAGCTCATTACTATGTCTCCATCACTATTTAATTCATTTATCTTCACCAGACAATTTCTTAATGTCAAGTTACAAGAGAAGATGAAGAATTACAAGTACTTGCTTGATGAGCACATACATGGGAGATTCAGAAAATTCACATGGCTGGAAGATTATATTGCTAGTATTACTTTCCAACGAAGTTGATGAATGTTCATCCCCAATGCTGTGACTTCAACTACTAGCTTAATTTTCATCAGAATGTTATCTTCCCCAAACTTGGGTCGACAAGTATTCCTAAGTGTCAAGCTTTTCATTAGCTCATCTTTATTAAAATTTTCATGACAAAGCTTATGCATAGTAATCAATATTTTCCAACCATGAAGACACAAAACATGCAACTTATCTATAGCAACATGGCTATGAAGAGTGCTCGATGTTTTCAATCCCCAATGGAGGAAAATTTTTTACAAGCTCAACCAAGCTATTGAGGGAGGGCTTTACAGTAATCACTCTTACTATTATTATCATCATTATGCATGCAACATAAGGATGGGCTTATTTTCTAATGAATTCAATCTTCCAAGTCTAGCAAAACATGACCACATTTCTTCAACGTGTTACATAATAATGATATTGCTAGATAGCATCGAACTCATCTAATATTTGGCAAAGTTTGGGCATATTCAACTCCATCAACTGCAAGCACAAAGACTTGTTGTCACAACTCTCCTCGCTTGGGGGGCTAATGTTGAATGATGTTTTTATAAAAGGTCAAACTTGGACTCGGGTAGTTTCCATGTCACCAAGACCTGCCTTGATCTAAGCGCCTATTAATGCCTTCAACGTGCATTTATCCAAAGGCCCAACAATATCTGATATTGTAATACATGGCTAGGCCTAGCAGTATCTAATGCTATAATACATAGTTGCATCACCAGAAATACATAAGGAAGTCTCTTTCCTTTATTATTTCCTTATTTATTAAATTTCATCATTTTCATCAGCTGATCACTATTCCTTTATGTACGTCCAATAAACCCATGAATCCAAGCTCATGGGGATATTCGGTATAAACTATTGCGGTAGTGGCTTGGTAGGTATAGATGGGTGAACTATACCTGTCTAGCAAAGCAAGGTATTCATGCCAGCGAAGCTTGGCGCTGGTGATATTGCCCGACTTCGCTAAAAAGGGTTGGGTGGTGAAGACGTGGAGGCAGACTTGATCCCCAAAATCATACTATTTGATGCTAACTAAAAGCTTAAAATCTAGTTCAAAACCAACCAGAGATGTTGTCGGTCACCATCAACAACTTACAGTTGTATTCAATGCAAAGGTTGGCTGCATAAGTTACAATGCATGGGAAACTATTCAAAAAGATCACATTTTGTCTAGGAAATCCACCAAAATCCTAGGCAACCTTTGAGAATCTACCAAAATCTTAGGCAGATCTGATTTTGCTGATTGCACTCAAATAGCCCCCCAAAAATGGTATTTTGTATGGCTAGAGAGTTACCAAAAGTGGACATTCTTCAGTAGATTAGTAGCACTTCATTGGCACTGGTGGTGCTTCACTAAAACCATTGGATAATTCATAGTATCACTACCAAAAAGCTATCAACAATGCCAAAAGCCACTAAAACTCGATAGCTCACCCAAATCTACCCATTAGGCCATTGTACACCTTTGACCCATCAACCAGAAATTACAAAAAAAGCCACTGCACATATATATATATTTTTTTTTTCCTTCATTTTCAGTAAAACCGAATAGCTTTCACAAATCTAACTTTCTTCCTAATGTACCAAACTCCCATTTTTCTTCTGAAAAATCCTTCATCTTCAACCTCTCCCCAAATAAACCAAAAATACCCAGAAACCACCATTTTTATTATATTTTATGCACTTCTAGCACTGCTGAACAATTTCCAAACTTGTAGAACATTATGGCTAGGAGACAGTATGCTGTAGATTCATTTTCTGGGTTATCTTCATGTGCATCAAAGGTTCAAGCTGAAGAGTTAGCAAAAAAAAGGGGATCAAGCCCTTCACTCACAAGCCCCAAAAATGGTCATCCTTCCTTTTCCCATCACTACTTTTGTCACGCCCCAGAACCCAAATCCAGGAACGTGGCAGACGTCGTACACTTGTGAGAGGATCCCACAAATGCACAAGGGTCGAAACTTACCATACCACAATCTGATACCACCAAAATCTGAAGATAAAATTATAAAATTCGCCCTGATATCATAAATCTCCAAATAAAGTCTAACTTACAAGATCATGATTTATATCTAAATCTATGTTCAATTTACAAGATGGCTAACCTTCTAACTCGTCACTCCCCTCGTTTTTCCTCGTCCTTGACTTCGCTTCCTAAAATGGTGGACAAGGAAAAACTATGAGATAACTCAGTAAGTA